TCCCATACCCTTTTTTTAATATTTGAAATCTAAAATCTAAAATCTAAAATCTAAAATCCAAAATTTTAAACTTTAAATTTTAAATTTTAAATTTTAAATTTTAAATTTTAAATTTCAAATTTTATATATATATATATGTATGTATGTATGTATGTAGATATATATATATATATATATATATATATATATATATATATATATATATATATATATAGGCTGGTTCCAATGAGAATGCACCTTGTGGAGAAAAATGAGAATAAAATCTAGCCGTTGGATCTGATGCATCGTGCACCTCAGATTGCATCCTGCGTTCAGATTTTGAAATAGTGCATTTTCAAAGGATTTTTGTGCATTTCAACATGATGCATTTTCAAATCATCTTCGTGCATCTAATTTTGATGCAATCTTGACCCTTATATCTCACAATCTAAGCACCAACTTGAAATTTACGATTCCAAAAATTTTCTCCCCCTTTTGTCTTTCTTAGTTAAACTTTCTAGAGTTTTTAAATAAATTATGAAAAAATACATTTAATTGTAATATAAAAATAATATCAATAGATTTGTTTTAAAATTTATTTTTAAAATATCATATTTTTAATGTATACATATATCTATATATAAATTGAGATATTAGTGCTCTATTATATTGGAAACTTTAACAAGTCAAATAGAAAGAAAACTTATGGACAAATTCTCATGGATAATATACGCAAATAATATACACAATACACCGTATTTGGAATGAAAAAAAGGGAAAAGACGATAAACGAACCCTACTACCTTCGTCCTAAAATATTTTTCTTAGTTACTATTCACATGATCAAATTTTAATCACCTTCTTTACCTATTTTTTTAGTTATTTGATAAAATAACATAGTCTTGTCACCTATTAGCTTGTTTTGTAGAAATTTCAACGTAGTTTTTAAATATATTAATTTTATTTTTAAATTTTACACGTACAATTAAATAAACTGAATTTAAAAATAAAGTCAATTGAATCTCGTAAACAGAAGCGGGAAAAATGTTTCAAGAGAGAGATTATCTCACTGGCTCCCACATATTATTCATTACTCCTTCCGTCTCAAAATAGATACTATTGTTACTGATGGGTAATAACTCATGGGTACCGCCTGGTAGGTCCAACCGACCGGGAGGTACCAAATGCAATGCTGCCTGACCTAGATGGCCCGGGCTGTCTGACCGGTCGGGAATGAGAAGATATGAAGCAAAGACGTAACTTCTTCTCTCGAAGGCATACAAACTGACCGGTCAGTGATCTGACTGGCTGGATGAGCAAGGACATGCTTGACGTGTTTAGGATTATGATAAATACCCCTAAAAGCCTCATTTGTGAGGCATGCTTTAATTAATCTGTACGGCTTGTACTTTGTAATAGTCCTAATACCGTTAATAACAAACCGGGTTGCAGGTGTTTCCACCTACAACCCTTCCGATCACTTATACTTAGTATTTGCACGGTAATTTACACCATCAAATTGGTGCCACCCATGGGACCATTACAAACAAAGCCATGGCAAGCAACCAAGAAACCATCATTTCACAGATCTCTACCCCCGTTGAGAATGTTACGTCGTTCCCGGGAGGAAGTGGCCTTCCTACTACACCAATCCCTACCCCAATAATCACCCTTCCAACACCCAACCCGTTCACTTCCCCAATGACCTCTGTCCCGGTATTTCCTCCGAATTTTCCCGGACCCATTGACCCGATGTACTCTAAGGCGTTCCAAAGTTTTGGACAATTCATGTCCATGCTCCAACAACCAGGAGGATTTTCCCTTTTCATCCCTGGGTTGTATCCACCATCATTCCCACAAACTAACATCATCTGGCCGGTCGTTCCAACAAATCTGGTCGGGGAAATGGATAAAGTTGGTCCATCCCGATCTAGAAGGAGTCGGTCCTGGAGATCACACACCCAGATAACACCAGATGGTGACGTACGTTCGGTCCACAGCAAGGATGAGGATTGGGATGTTCCCTAGGCTCAAAAGAAGTTAAAAGGTAAGGCGATCCAACCGGAAGGAACCAGGAGTTCAGCATTCCAGAGGCTGGGACATGATGGCAGGAACTAGAACCGACCGGCCAAAGAGCGACTAGGAGTGGAAACAATCCTAGTGAGTGCCTTTGACCGGATGGGGAGAGGGGCCGGGCGTCCTGGTCGGACCAGGCGAACGGAACCACCCCCTCGCGATGAACCCGAGAACAGCCGGGCGCCTCTGGAAGAGGAGGAAGCGGAAAGCCATCCAAGGCACACGGTCCGCACCCACGTTGAATAGCCCAAGGACCGTGTAGGCCGGGTAGAAGTGCGTTTGGAAAAGTTGCAGCGACGAGTAGACCGGGAGGACAAGAAGAAAATTTTGTTGAATGGATCTCCATTCACTGACCGGGTGCACGAGACCCCGTTCCCGAAAAAGGCGAAGCTAGAGGTTCCAAAGTTCACCGGTAAGGAGGATCCTGAAATACACATCAAAACCCTCCACCAAAGCGGGAGGATGATGGGTCTTTCCGGGGATGGGAAGTGTTTGCTCTTCTTCCAGACTCTCCGCGGCCGAGCCGCCGAGTGGTTTCACAACCTTCCAACAGGTGAGATCGATTCTTTTGACGAACTAGCCGAGGTGTTCCAGGAAAAGTTTAAGAAGAATTGTACCAAGAGGAAAAAATTTACCTACTTGAGTACAGCCGGGAAGAGGGAACACGAGGACTTGACCAAGTTCCTCACCCGGTGGAAGGATGAAGTTGACAAGGTGGAGGAGATGGACGACAAAACCGCAATGTCCCTTCTGGTCTTTGGGCTTCGTTCCGGAGAATTATACAAGGAATTCTGTAGGCGGCCTCCCCAGTCTTACCAGGAGGCCTACAACACGGCCTGTGATTACGCCGATGCTGAGGCCCAAGTTTCCTCCAAAAGGGAGGCCGAGCAAGGTCATCCTAGGGGAAGGACTTCCGTAAAGAAGGAAAGCGAACTGCCCGGAAGGATAAAAGCGGAAGTCATGGAGGTAAAGCCGGTGAAGACAGAGAAGAAGCCAACCGGGGAGATGCAGTGGGCCGAGAAGTATTGCTCCTTCCACAAAACAGACTCTCACAACACTGCTGGATGCAATAGTGTTAAAGGAGTGATAAAGGCGATGATCGAGGCCAGGGAGCTCGACCAAGAATACCTGGCCCAGGCAAAGAAAAAGAAGAACCAATGGATCCGGCCTGAGGGACAACCGGCCGAACAAAACAAAAAGAAGAAAGCACCCAGTAAAGAGCACTTACAGGTGATTTATGGTGGACCGGAGGGAGGAGATTCTGCTTCTCAAAGAAAGAAATGGGGGCGAGAGCTCTACGTAGGGACAGTTGCCCTTGGTCCCCGGAGGAAACAAACCAGACGGGAGTCGATCACATTCACAGATCGAGATCTTCCCGCCACCGGGGAAGGTCACAATGACCCCCTGGTCATAACCATGGATATGGGTGGAGTCAATGTCTCCCGGGTACTGGTTGACACGGGCAGTAATGTCAACGTTTTGTACTTGGAGGCCTTTGAGAAACTCAAACTGTGTCGAACACGGCTTGAGCACTTAAAGACTCCCCTGTCCTGGTTCACCGGAGATTCTGTTGAAGCTGAGGGGTCAATCCTCTTAACATGCGAACTGGGAACGGGAGACAAAGTTATCCAGAAGCAGATGAGGTTCGTGGTGGTGAACATCAAATGTGTTCACAATGCCATCTTAGGCCGGCCTGGAATAAACAAAGTCCGTGGAATCATCTCCATGGCTCATCTCTGCATGAAGTTCTATACGCCGGGCGATATAGGACAAGTCAGAGGGGATCAAAAGAAAGCCCGGTCTTGTTATCTAGAAGCTGTGAAAAATATGACAAAGGCATTCGAGAGGGTTACCCTGGTTTCCCAAGAGGAAGACTGGTCGAAGTTGGAACCGGTTGATGAGACTGAGCAGATTGTTCTCCGGGAAGCATTCCCGGAAAGAATGGTGAGGATTGGCCAGGACCTACCCGGAGGACTTCGAGAGGAAATCATCTCAGTCCTTCGGGAGTACGCTAACATATTCGCTTGGAGTGTGGCAGATATGCCGGGTATTGATCGTTCCATTATCTGCCACCGATTGGCTGTAATAGAAGGTAGCCGGCCTGTAAAGCAGAATAAAAGGCACTTAGCGAACGTCCGAAGGGAGTTCGTTAAGAAATAGGTGAAGGATCTGTTAGCAGTCGGGCACATCAGAGAAGTCCAATACCCGGCTTGGTTGGCGAATGTTGTATTAGCACCTCAGGGAGACACTTGGCGTATGTACGTGGACTACACCGATCTCAACAAAGCGTGCCCCATGGATTCATATCCGCTGCCCAGTCCCGACCAGATGATTGATGAGACGGCCGGATGTGAATTGCTGAGCTTCATGGATGCTTTCAAAGGCTACCATCAAATCTTCATGGCGAAGGAGGATGAGGAAAAAACTTCCTTCTTAACTCCCGAAGGCACATATTGCTACCGAGTAGGGGTGTATACGAATCGAAGCAAATATATCACTATTCGATTCGTATTCGATTAAAGTGATATGTATTCGAATTCGGATTCGTATATAATTCGAATTTTAAAAAACATTCGTATTCGATTTGATAGATATTTGACGTATTTGAATTCGTATTTGAATATTCGAATTCAAAAATATTACTAATTTTTTTCTTAACAGATTTCTTAAAGACATTAAATTATTATTTTATAATAATGTAAAATGTAGTAAAAAATGTAGTAAAAATATGTTAGAATATATTTAAATTTATTTATAAATTATAGTAATTGAATATATATAAATTTATATGTACACAAAAATTTAATATATTAAAATATGTACAAAAATATTTAATATATTAGAATATATGTAAATTTATTTATAAATTATAATATTCGAATAATTCGAATAATAAACGAATCGAATCTATTAATATTTTTGTATTCGAATTCGAAAATAATTCGAATCTAAAATATGATTTGTATTTGGATTTGAATTTGAATATAGCGAATACGAATCATCCTTTTCGAATACGAATCACGAATCGAATACATTTTATTTGATTTGTATGCACCCCTACTACCGAGTGATGGCCTTTGGGCTTAAGAACTCGGGCGCTACTTATTAACGGATGGTGAACTGGCTTTTCAAGCCACTCCTTGGTAAGTCGATGGAAGCCTATGTGGATGATATGCTGATTAAGAGCCCGGGAGCAACAAACCACCCGGCTGATATGAGGCTATGTTTTGAGATCATGGAGAAGTACAACCTGCGCCTTAACCCCAAAAAGTGCGTCTTTGCTGTAAAGACCGGCAAGTTCTTGGGGTTCATGGTAACCAAGCGAGGTATTGAGCCAAATCTGGAGAAGATAAAAGCGATAACCGAGATGAGGTCGCCCGGTTCCCTAAAAGAAGTGCAGCGACTTACCGGGCGGCTGGCGGCTTTGAGCCGTTTCCTTTCCCGGTGAGCTGAAAGGGCCCTACCCTTCTTCAAGGTCCTGAAGAAGGCCAACACTTTCGAATGAGACCGGGAGTGTGAAGAGGCTTTCCAGCAGCTGAAGGAGTACTTAGTTTCTGATATAGTCTTGTCTAAACCCAAGTCAGGTGAAACTTTGTACTTATATCTGGGCATATCCCAAAACGCTGTAAGCTCTGTTTTGATAAGAAATGAAGACGGTCAGAGGCCTATTTACTATGTGAGCAAAACACTTAATGGGGAAGAAAGCCGGTACACTGCCATTGGAAAAACAGCATATGCACTTTTTATAACTGCCAAAAAACTGACCGCGTACTTCCAGGCTCACGCTGTAGAAGTGCTGACCGATCAGCCACTTGGACCGGTCCTCCGCAATTCAACTTCTTCAGGACGGATGATCAAGTAGGCAATGATGCTCACCCAGTTCAAGATTGAGTATAAACCTAGAACCGCAATCAAGGGCCAAGCACTGGCCGATTTCGGGGTTGAACTGACCGGTCTGGAGCCTGAAGAAGGACCTTCCCATACGGTTGAACCGTGGTGGGACATGGCCGTTGATGGGGCTTCTGGACCGAAGGGCTGCGGAGCCGGCATAGTCTTTACTACTCCAGAAGCGTTCAAAATCTACCATGCCTTGGTTTTTAACTTCAAACTCACCAACAACGAAGCAGAGTACGAGGCATTGGCCGATGGACTCAGATTAGCCCGGGCGCTCGGGATCAAGAGAATGAAGATTTGGTCTGTTTCAAGCCTGGTCGTCAGGCAGGTTAATGGCAAAATGGAGGTCAAAGAAGAACGTCTGGCCCGGTACAGTGACCTGGTTCGAGCTCTTTTGAGGGAATTGGAAGAGTTTCGTCTGACCAGGATACCCCGGTCGGAAAACACTGATGCTGATATGCTTTCCAAGTTGATGCAAGCTTCCCCAGAGCATGTGTCAAAGTTGGCCAAAATCGAGATATTGGACCATCCAAGCGTTGACCGGTTGGAGGTCGCGGCCATCCAGCAAGGTCAGAGTTCGGAGGTAGGAGTAATTGAGGCAGATGATGAGTGGAGATACGACCTCATGGAGTACTTAATGACCGGTGAGAAACCAGACGACGAAGAACGGGCCAGGAAGGTAGTCTTACGGGCTCCCCGGTTTCAGGTACTGGACGGTCACTTATACAAACGTGCTATTGGAGGACCCCTACTGTGTTGTCTTACTAATCCAGAGGCAGAACGGGTGATAGCCGAGGTACACGAGGGAGTTTACGCAGCCCATCAAATGTCCCGTACATTGGCCCAAAGGATAGTTCTGCTCGGCTATTATTGGCCTACCATTGTTAGGGATTGTGAACGGTATGTGCAGAAATGTAGGACGTGCCAAGTCTTTTACAAACATCCCAGCCGACCGGCTACATACTACCAACCAACCTCAAGTGTCATACCCTTTGCCCGGTTTGGGATTGACATTATTGGGGCTTTCCCGATTGCCCAAGGTGGAAAAAAGATTGTGATGGTCGCTATAGATTACTTCACCAAGTGGATAGAGGCCGAGGCGATGGCCACTATAATCGTGCGGCAGTGTGAAAAATTTGTTTGGAAGAACATTATTACCCGGTTTGGAGCCCCAAAGATGATTGTTACCGATAACGGCCCATAGTTTCACAACCCCCGGTTCACTGCGTATTTGGCCAGTTTCTGGATCAAACACAACAATGCGTCGGTAGCATATCCTCAAGGAAATGGCCAAGTTGAGAATGCTAACCAGACGATAGTGGACGGGATGAAGAAGAGGTTGGGGGAAGAAGGGCGCAAATGGTTGGAAGCACTACCTCATACGATCTGGGCACACAGGGTAACTTCGAGAAGAGCAACCGGGGAGACGCCATTCGTGCTCACTTACGGATGTGAAGCCGGTTGCCAATCGAGGCAGAGTTCCCAACGTTTAGAGAAATCGTGTATCAGCCCGGTCAAAACGAGGCCGATCACTTGGCTGAATTGAATCTGGTGGAGGAGCGGAGAACGATGGCAGCCGTCAAAATGGTCGGTTATCAGCAGTCAATAAAAATATATCATGACAACCGGGTGGGTCCACCTTACTTCCAGGTGCATGATGAAGTTTTGCGAAGAAGGGATGCGAGTAAACCCAACGAAAGAGGCAAACTAGTGCGCAACTGGGAAAGACCATATTGCATAAGGGCGATCACCCGACCGGGCACTTATCAGCTGGAGACCATGGAAGGTGGACGGGTTGATCGGCATTGGAATTCTCACCACTTGCGTAAATTTTTTAGATGAAGTGTAATGAATTCCTGGTCATGAATAAAACTTTATCTTTTCAGAAAGGTTGTTCATAACAACAATCAGGAATTGGTCACACACCAATCTAACCGGTTAGATGTTCAATCGAATTGGACATCTCAAAAAAAACTTTTGTTTGTATGATTTCATTGATATATTTATTAAAAAAAAATATATTTTTTCATCTTTTGTTTTAAAGAATTTTTATGTACTTTAAAATGATGCAATTTATATTTTTTATGTGTAAATTTATAATTAAAATGATTTTAAAAATGACGAGATTTTGGACGTTGGTGAGACTGTCACATCCATTATGACAAGGAATGAGTATTATTCTCATCACTATTTGCTCTTTCGTTTTCTATCTAATTATTCCTTTTAGCAAGCTGATATATTCAAACTGCCAAACGCAACACAACACCTTAAAGTGGCTCTCTCTCTCTCTCTTGCTTTAATTAGGACCATCACTTGTTGGAACACTCAGTTGCTTTTTAGTTTTCCCTTTTACTTTCTCTCCGGCCACTACTTTTCTTTTGCCATTTGCTCAAATGGATTCTTCTCAGTGGCCACAGGTAATTAAGCAAATATATTCAATCCATGTCCTCTACTAGCTCTTGTCCATTATCTTTACTACTTCTCTGGCTCTATATACATACATACATACATACATATATTTGATGTGTAAACATCTATGCTAATACCATTTCTGCAATATAATGCTCACTAGGGTTTTTGGAGAGATAGATAAAGCTAAAGAGATTTGGGTGTGTGTGTGTGTGTGTGTGTGTATGCTCTCTCTATCATGCATCTTTAAAGTTTAAACTTGCTTTGCCTCTTGATATTTCATTATGATCTTCTTTGGAATCTTTGCTTCATTAAAAAAATTTATATATATATATATATATATATATATATATATATATATATATATATATATATTGTTGGGAAAAATATTATAGATTTTGATGATGATTTATGTAATAGGGACTTTAGGTCTCCCCCAATATTCAATGTAATTTTTCTTTTTAGAAATATTGTTAAAACCAAGTTCTCGAGTTTTCAATAAAAC